AGTCTTCTTCATATCGTCTTGTATATCTTCTTGTGCCATCCTTGCACAGAGGCTTTTAACTGATTGTTTTCTGATTGGCACTACAGACTCTGCTGAGAGCACCCCAATTATGCTGCAGACACGCCCCAGTGCAACATTATTTCTCCTCAACCTCGTTATAAACTCCTTTGTCATTGGGTCTATGTATCCATGGGACCCCCACTGCTTCTTCTCACCACATGTCGATGAAAGTGCATGATTGTGTTCAGAAATAATTCATGGTTCTCAGTTCGATGCAGGCGCAACATTGCTTCGCATCCTGATGTCGCTGAAGGTGCTCTTGGGTTTTTGCAGAAACCCTGCAAGCATGAAGATAATTAGCCAAAAATTCTACCATTGAGCCTCCTTCGTATACTTCATCCCAGAATAAGAGAGGGTCATAGTTGTATGCATACCTCACAGGAGCACACTGTGTCTTTCCTAGTTGTGTAATTGTTCCCATTTTTCTTCGACCGTGATTCCCTTATTCCTAATCCGATCTCCCAAGAATATAGGTTGCAGAACTCCTTTGCTTCTTCATATGAACTGAATGTTGTCCCTTCGTAGGGGTAGAATATAGGCTCACCCTCCCTGTCCTTGGCTGTTGCTACTGCTCGAGTAATCCCGCTGTTAGCTGTTGGCGCAAAGCACGCGTCTGGCCCCTCCTTCCCTCGTTTCCTGCCAAAAAATCTTTAAAATCACAGATCTACTATATCCCAAACTCTATCGATCTTTTGAGCATCAGATAGAGTACGATGGATTCAAATGTAAACAGACTCACCTTTTCTTGAACGAGAGGGAAGTGAGAACATCATGTCCGGGCGGCGATGGATCCCTACTCATATCTCCATTCGATGTGCTCCCAGTTGCATTACCTGTTAGCTCTAGGGATGCAGGGATGACCTGCTGACTATCACGAACTGAATCTGCCATGCCAGCGCCCTCGATGCGATCGGGATGTGGACTACCCTCACCATCTACCACAGCAGCCGAATGTCTCATGTTTTCATTCATGCCACCCGCTCATCCGTTTTTGAATCTGAAAACTATCTTTCTGCGTCGGGCAGCAACTGTGACTCTGTGAGTACAAGCTGTTATATGTCCGCCTTCGCGCCGAAGACTTTATTCGAACCGTTTGTTACTGTAGTTCACGGCACACTTCATTCGTCACCGTTACTTTTATTACGCACATTACTCCTTCCGCACAGCCTTTCTAATTTCATCTGATCAGCGTTCCGTTCTTTCATCCGAGCCGTCCGTTCAGGGGGGACACATCAGCCCCGAGGCACCCGTTTCGCGTCGGGCGACCAACGCAGCAGCGAGGAGGCCGACGCACGACTGCTCGTCATGCGATGCTGTGTTCGCGTGCGGGCAGGCGCTCGGTGGGCACATGAACTGCCATTGGCTGCTCCCAACCTTCCTTGCTTCTTTTCTTTCCCTTTCCCTTTCCTCCTCTTCTTCAACCTTCAGACAAACGAGAACACGAACCAAATCTAGCACCAAGTCACCAATACGATACCAGTATAGGATGATGGCTAACCGCATCCATCAAGAAGCTCACGCCTCCTACACTTCAACTGCAGTCCTGCAGTTCCTGTGCTATTCTGTATTGAGGTTGAGTTCCATGTCTGAATCGCATGGAAGAACACTGTTCAGGCTAGTAGGGACTCAAATCGAGGAGCACGAGGGCAATTTCGTATGGTAGAAACCGATTTGGCACTGGATTGAGAGGTTCTTGCTTCTGCGGCAGTCCGTGAAGGCGGCGGCAGAGTGTGGTGGAAGGCCGAGCTCGTGGCGCTCTCGCCGGTGTCGTCCAGGAGGGTCGTCACGGCGCTGCGCTCAATAATGCCATCGCTCCATCAACCGGTGCATGTTGTAGTACGCGCTCTGCTTCGTCGCCATCGTCGTGGCTCCTTGGCTGCGCCCATCACCGCCATGGACTCCTCGCCTCAGAGAGCCTGGGCACCATCAGCAGTACAGGTGGTGGCCAGAACTCGTGGCAGAGAGCGGGTTAGATGGCGGCACCGCGCGGCGTGCGGACGGCGACCTGAAGGGGCGCACAAACAGCGGGCGCAGTGCATGGGGCTCGCGGGCGGTGAGCGTGGCCAGGTGATGGCGGCGGACCTGCGATAGAGACGGCGTGCGCGCGTAGACACAGCAGCAGGGTCGGTCGTCGTCGTAGAGAGGAGAGATGGAGCTGATATTTGGACGTACAGGAAACCAAATTGAATTGAAATGACATAGTTTCTAAGTACAAGGACCAGGATGATACACGCAAGTTCGAGGACCGGGCATGCACTTTACATTATGCTTCCAATAGTTTCTATGCAAGAAATGTGTTCCACTACGTGCCCAGCTTACCAAAATCTGCAAATGGATGAAAATGAAACACAGATGAATACTACAAGCCTCAACAGCGGACCACCACTGAAAAGTTAGCTTCGGCTGCAGTAAGTACTCCCTCCTTCATGGAAGAATGTAATTCTGGAATAGAGTTATGTTTTAGTATATCGGCCGATTATAGATAAAAAATATAAATATTTATAATATTAAATAAATATTATTAAATTAATTACAAAATACATTTTTATAATAAATTAATTTAGAGTCATAGATGTGAATAATATTTATTAGAAACTTAGTTAAACTTGTAGTACTTAAATTAGCACACTACTCATAGATGTATTCTTTCCAAAACAAAGGTAGTAATAAGGTAAAGGAGAGACAGGACTGATTTTTGGCCACCGGCTTCACCGGACAATCCTAGTCAGCCAGCGTTTACTTCGGAACAGGATACCTAGCGTAGCCAGCTGCCTTCGCTGCCTTCGATCAATAGGCAAAGGCAATACGGGGTCACCTAGACCTAGCCGAAGACCGATTTTTATGCCACGTCCATGGGCCAATCCTAGACCCGTTCGCTGAAAAAACAAGCTGAAACACTGTTCCGACTGATTTATTATGAGAGAAAAATACTGTTTCGGCTAAAAAACAAACTAAAAACTATGGATTATAAGAGAAAGCGAACAGGACCCTAGTCAGCCTGAGTTTACTGCTTAAGTGAGTACAGATCATAGTCCAGCGTGGTCTGATGCTGGCAGCAACAGCGCCCATACACCCATTCCCCACGTGTACGACTGGAGCCGTAGAGGAATGGAGTGGATTGAAGAACCTCCTTCTGCAGGCACAGCTACACCGGCTGCAGGAGGGCAGAGCCCGGCTATAAGACCAACGGGTGTTGTTGCTGACAACAAACAAGAGTGCCCCCACCACCAGCCCTCGAGAACCTGCCATCTGAAGGAGGAGAAGCCAATGCAAGTCAGCCCATTCCTACAGCTCCTTCAATGGCTGCACGACCAAAGTCTGCGCTTGCCGGAAACAGTGGCACAACATCGAGCAAAAAACAGCGCGAGGGTAATTTCTGCGATCGCCTGGTTTCTTGCTTCGGCCTTTGCTCATGATCCCTAAACTAAGGAATGGAAGCAAGCATCTGAATCAAGATCAGAGGAATCAACACCTATTGATATCTGTTCTGTTCTGTTGTGTTGTTCTATCAAAATGCACAAGCATCAAATCTTTTGTGGGTTTATTTATGGCATTTGTTGAGAGGACACGTACGGGGTCGAATAGATCACTATGCCAGACTGATTACTCCTTGGCATTGATTGGGTGCAATGGTTTTATTTTACCGAATGCTCTATATTTTTCTGAAATCTGAAAGACAAGAAAAGAACACTAGTCATTCACTGTACTGCAATTTTTGTGGCAACAGTCGTGCTCCAGTATATATTCTATTCCTAGCCGATCGGACATGTGAGACATTTTTTTTTTGACTGAAGACATGTGAGACATATCGCTGCATTTTTGTAAGGTCCATGGCTATTTTAGGGTTGCAAGGTATCGCGTCATGTCTGTGGGATCTGAATGGTATAACGCGATATATACTTTTACAAGACCTTGCGACCCTAAAATAGCCCAACAATAACCACTGAACTAGTAGCTTGGCAGTTTGTCCATAAACATTTAATCACTACACTGGTTTTTTCTCAGAAAAGGGTGATCTTGTGAAACCTGATATCATGACTTTTAAGGATGGTCACGTCTATAATATGGCACATTATAAACTCATTGCATTTACGCGCCTAATCTTAGAACCCTGAATCAGTAACTTGACAGATTGCCATTTGACCTCTTGTGGTTTTCCAATCCTGATGTCAGGCCTTTCGAGTAAAGGTGACAAACAAATACATTACAGCCCAAAATTGAACGATACGTCTAGTAGATTACTCTTCATGTTTGAAGGTTACTCCATTTGATTCACCTTTTCTTTTGTTAGTATATACCATTGCATATCAGGTTTCACTAGCCTAATGTCTGTCTATTTTACAGCATAAATGCTCAAACAAGGTTGTGACAACTGACAGCCAAGGCATAGATCAGCTTTCTGCAAAAGAAATGGAAACAAACATGCAGCTTGGCCAAGATATTATTTGATCCTTGATCCATGCGTGCACTAAAATTAAGCAGTAAATTGACATGAACTAAGCACAACGATAGCAGCGAGTACAGAGACTTGATCGTGCTACTCCTAGTTAATTAATAACGGTACCTAAAACTAGAAGTCATAGCAAGCAAAGGTTGCATCATATTCATATCGACAAGTGGCAAGTCGTCATTAGGAATTCAGAATGCACATATCCCCTTGAGATGTCTTCAGAGCCATAAGTCACAAAAATCAGCAGCATGTTCAAGCATTAGTAGAAGATAAAAAGATCAGTTCGGATGGCCTCAGACCACATAGAACAATAGCAATCGGTCCATGGCAATGCCCCTGTGGACACTATCACTGAAAGCTTCACATGGTTCACAGCATCCACAGAATCAACAGATAGAAAAAGGACGTCTGATTACGCACAACCTTTAGCCCAAATGTACCATTTATACACCTTCGATTCCAATACCTGACAGCCTCCAAGTCACTGGATCTAGACAAATTTAGTCTTGCCACCCTTCTCAGACTTCTTCACCTGTTGTCAATTACAATAATGTCAAGCTTCCATGGAGGAATAGCAACGATGATAAATATGGAATATATCATGATTGCAGGTGCAGGAAGCAAGTGCCTGCTTACCACTTTGAATGTTGACTGCAGCTTGCTTAGCTCAACGGGGCACTCTCCCTTCTCATCATACTCAGAAAATTCACCTTCAGAGCAGTCAATTTCAAAAGGAGTCCCATGCACCTTAAAAAAGATGGCACACTGTTAGCACATCACACAACAAAAACTAAACAATTGTGACATTGAGTACATGCAGAACTAGCAATAAACTAAAATCCGCAAAAAGATGGTTTTAAATCAAACTCCCAATTGTTCAAAAGGTGAAACTTTCTAGATTTGGAAAAACAATTTAAAACAAGGCATAGACTTGTTACTGTGAAAGAAATCAAAGACATTTTATTTCTTCTTGGAGAAAGAAGACAGACAATCAGTGTGTGAACTATGAACATAAAGAATCAGTGTGTCAACTTAAAGAATAATACATTTGTAGGTCAGATGCCATACAAGCTACACACACATGGGAAACTCTATGCCACTTCAAAATAAAAGCACATATACACTTTAACACTTCTATGCTTAAGTAATGCACAATGTGAAAACAGATAACTGTAATATACCCTTGTATTAAGTAATGTGCAATGTGAAAACAAATAATTGTACCAGAGTTATGCCATACATGGAAAATGGAGTATTGAATATAACAAATCAAGCACACAGAAATGACACTCACATAGAATAGAATACCAGAAAGAGCTCATTTCTAGAATGTGTGAATAACTTTGAAAAGATTAATTATTTACAACTAATGTGTTGGTTTTGTATATGTAAGCCGTCATTAACATTCATGATATAAGATCAAGAAAAAACATACAGATTCAGCCTTCCAGCCAGCACCAAAAGAAAACTCAACAGGTTCATAGCCTCTGCAGTCAAACACCATCAAACAAGTCTCCTCTTCTTTCTGGCTCCGCTCAATAGTAAGTGGCGTCCCATGACCAGGAATCATCACAATTGTTCCATCTCTCCCACAAAGCTTGCACTGAGAGAAGACAAAACATCATACACAGGAGGACATAGCTTACATGGTAAAACAAAATATACAAAGTCGATACACAATTATTGAAACAGTTTTGTGTTATCCTTTACGCCTTTGTTAGAAACCTCATGGAAAAAAGTTAAACAAAGAACCTTATTATATGTATTGAAACAAGTTTTTCCTCCTTTATGCCTTTGTTAGAAACCTCAAGGAGAAAATTTAGATAAAGAACCTCGAGATATCAAATTGATTATTGGACAGAAAGTCATTCAGAAAGTTGTTATCGCTAATCAAATCATGGATTGCTAGAACAAAAAGGCTATTTTGACCAAAAAAAGGTGAGGATCCTACATATACTGTCAAGGCACAAAATAAGAATTTTTTAAGCTTCCAGGTCAAAAATGGCATTATGAGGTCTGGTACATATTATGAGCATATACATAACTACAGCAATAGAAAGGTGCACAGTACCACGAAAGAGTGCTGAGGCTAGTTGTTTGCATTTGATCAGTAAATAATATAAAATAATTGGAAAATGAAATTGGAAAAAAAGTTCTTTAGCATTAAAAATGGGACCATTTACATCGGGTCACATTTGATGTCCATAGTCTCACACACAATAAGTTTTATGCAAAATGTTCATGATAGTACATATTCATCTTGATGGCATATGATAAACCTCAAGTAAGGAGACATAGCAATCATATATATATATATATATATATATATATAAGTGCACAACACAGAGATGATAAGACATAATTATTGACTTCTTACATTGAATTTAGGTAGAACAGAAAACTATTTTTCTACCATGGAGATAAGGAAGACAATAGTAAAGAACATGAGCATAATAGACAAAATAACTGCATTAGATGCCTACACAAGGTCAAAATAGATAGTGAGGTGCTTTCCCATCATGAGTAGTGGCAAAGGCACCTTGTTTCCTATGGTTCACTGGTGGACACTAGACTTTTGCATAAGATTTTTTTTCAGTGTAGAATATTTAAACAAAGGTAGAAAGAACCTCATGGGGGATTAATAAACTATATTATCACAAAAGAACCGACAATGGAAAAATCATCACCCTGCCAATGATCACAATCCACAAGACAACAAATCATATTAACAAAAAAGAAACCCCATTACTTGTGAATCCAAATGCATATATTATATTTTCATGGGCAACCTATAGTTTGCAAAATAGCATGACCCTTGAGAAGGAACAAATGAACAATCCTCTGTTGTTGCCTTTTATGCAAATATGACTCCCGTCCACCCAATTCAATCCCCAGTTTAATAATGAAATCAGTACTCCACATTGAATCCATTCCCAGCCTACTAAATAAATAACATAAAAGAAGGAAATCCAGAAGGGTAAAGGAATATCAACGAACTATATCATCAGTCATCTCATTTGCTGTCCTCATACCATGCAAGTTCATCAAACAACCTAACAGAAGGTCAGCTGATATCAATTATCATCAACGACACTAACACGCACTGCACGTTCATCAAAATACAAAAAGCACAGGAAAATAGCATTTCCTGTAAAAAAACATTTCTTGCTCACTTAAAAGCATATATAACACTAAACAGAGTTTACCATTGTATACAAATATAACTCTCCACAGCCAATCTAATGCCGCTTTTACTTTTACCCAAGGAAAGAAAAATCGTTCACCAAATGTACTCTAAACAAAGGCAAATGGATGTATGCAGAAATGAGACTCCATCTACCAGAGCAATAAAAGTGTCCAGTAATAAACATCTAAACTATGTTAGCCCCTTATAGACATACTACCATGCTGATTGATCCATCTTGCATACTAACAAACACTCCTCACGGGCCAGTCTTATCAAGTACACCAACATTACAGCAGAGGGAAGCCGAATCCATCCGGCCACAGAGGTATGCGGAGGAAGGTGATGTTTACGAACGAGGGTACCTTCTGGACGAGGTGAGCGGTGCCGTGTCCTTTGGGCAGGTCGACTTGCTCGCTGAGGGTGACGTAGGTGGACTTGGCGGTGACCTCCCCGCAGTTCTCGCACTTGAGCTGCGATCCAGCACAGAGAAGCGAGCGAGCAAACCCCGCGATCAGCGCCTTTCGCGATCGATGTGAGGGGAACCGGAGCCGATCGAGCCAAGGGAGGAGAAGGGAAAGGGGACACGGACCTTGAGGTAGTAGGGGAAGTTGGGGTCGTCGCAGCCGCGGCGGGGCTGCAGGTTGGTGAGGCCGTCCAGCTCCGCGCCCACCAACAGCGCGTAGTACACCATCTCCGCCTCCGCCTGCTTCCAAGGGTTAGGGTTCCGGGCTTGGGTTCGGTCCGACGCCGCCGACGGAGACGACGAGGGGGAAGGGGAATGTGGGTTTTAGTTGGCTTCGCTTCGGTTCGCCTTGCGTCTATAGGAAGGGAATACGAAGGACGGAAGGGGAAGGAAGTGCTTGTGCGGTGCCATCGCCATTTGGACGAGAATGGCCCTAGAGTTCGCGCGTGGGTTTGGGGCTTCGGAGGGTAGTTTAGTCATTGGGCACTGGCTGAGTGGCGCCTGCGAATAGATTCGACAGGATTTCCTACTTCTACCGTTTACGTTTCTTTTAGTAAAGGCGACCGATAAGTCAGCTGAAGTTGGTGCCCCGTTTATGTTTCTTTTACTAAAGTCGACCGATAAGTCAGCTGAAGTTGGTGTCCCGTTTACGTTTCTTTTACTAAAGTTAGTTGAAGTTATTTTGTTGTAAAAGAAAAATACTATAGATTTTAACTGACAAGTCGGCTGATAAGTTCAAGCGAATAGGCCCGATTCGTCGGGAGAAATCCACTTCATCAGAATTCAGAAACAAAGCACGAGCCTCGCCTATGTTTTTGAAATAAGAAGGTGCCAGGCTCCGAACCCGGATCAGTAGCATGTTCGTTTGGCTGTGGCTTGTCGTAAATGATCGTAAATTTCTAGTTGGAACAGTATTTTTCTCTCACACAAACCAGCCAACAATACTTCTTTACGAACCAGCGACGAAACGAACCAGCCAACCGAGTAAACGCCTGGCAATAAAATCTTGATACAACGGCTATCATGGAAACACAGTAAGCACGAACCCAGATGGCTAAATGACACCAAGGATGAACCAAATTTCCAGAAACTTGAGAGGATCGTAAATCCAATGGACCCTCCAACAAACGAAACGAAAACAAATCTGCCATCGTTTGGCCACTCAAACAGAGCATGTACCAGGGCTGCGCTGCACATAGTCAAATGCTAAATTTTGATGCTCCATCAAGCCAATCAAACAAAGCATTAATTAAGCATATAATAGTAGATCACAGATAAGCTACGAACACGATGACGCAGAAGGTGAAATGCTTAGGCGCCATCCAATTCACTCTTTACCTTGTCCCACTGTGCTACATTTCAGCTAAGATAAGAAATACTTGGATCGCAATTTATAACACATTAGCATCTGAAATACCATCAAGAACATCATTTACACGCCGGAAGCAACACAATGCTAAACGCTGTCTCCATATAACTAACCATTTGGGCACCTGTTCTGAAGCAACAGGGCTAACAGGAGAACTGGTGGAACTAAGCAAGAGAGAGCAACACAACATAGAAATCAGATCAAGATTGAAGTTCACAGTAATTCACATAGTAAGGGCGTGTCTATCAGCTCCGAAAGCACAAACACTCTCATGAAAAGGCAAAGATCACACTTCATTGAACAAGTGAACACCACCACCACCCAAATATTATGTTCAATGATTTTGAGCTAAAACCTAATCAGCCATAAGAATAAAAAGATACAGTACAACTCGTCTGAGCTTGCAAACAGCCTTTCTGAACATTTCTGAACTCTGAGCTAGAATAAGTGCTATCCATAGGGCCGGATCACAGTTCCAACATAAGACAAAATCTTATCGCCGATGAACTGCACTCCAGTCACGATCGCAAATTCGCTATAAACTAGAACGAAAGTTGACATAGATTTTGTAATAAGGTGTTGTATCAATCAATCCATCAGAAGCAAAATACCCATACTCCCATTCTGTTCTGCTCACATCAGTTGGGGCGGCCAGCACGGAGGGACCGGAGGCGGTCGAGCCACTGGTCCTCGGGGACGCTGCCCGCCCACGCCGGCGGCGCGCCGGGGAACTCGACGCCGCGCATCGCGTCCACGATCCGCGCGGCGGCGCCCGCGGGCAGCGGAGTGCGGCGGCGACGCTCGTCCTCCGAGAAGGCCCGCGCCGCCGCCTCCGCGGGCCGCAGGTCTCCGTCCTCATCCTCTGCCTCCGCGTCTTCCGCCGCTTCGTCCTCGTCGGACGCGAGATCCAGCGCGGAGATGCCGTTTCCTGCCTCGTCGAGGCGGTGGTGGGGCACGGCGGCGTCGAAGTCGGGGTCGGGGTCGGATTCGGAGTCGGAAACGGCGCCGGCGATTGGGCGGTAGTCGGATTCCGGCTCGGCGTCGGAGTCAGAGGCGGAGGAGTGGTCGGGGAGGGAAGCGGAGGCGGGAAGGTGCCTGTTGCCGGGGATGGACATGGCTGCCGCCGGAGAGGAGACGAGGAGGAGAAAAGCCAAGTGGGTTGTGTAAGCGCCTGGGTTGCTTGGGCCCTCCCCTCCGTGATCCCTTTTTTTTTTTTTTTTGAGACCCCGTGATCCCTTTTCGGTGTTGGGCTGGTGGGCTCATGGCGGATTTTGTAGGGAACGGCGAACCAGCTCAACAACCCAACAGTGAAGGTCTGCGACAATTGGTGATGGCAGCAGCAGATTCCTGATGCGAATTAAGGCTTATAATCTATACTCAATTAATCTGCTGCGAATTAAGGCATATAATCTACACTTAATTAACGCGGGGCACTGTACTTAATTAGCTCAAGAACAGGACAGGCGGTGATTATTCACAACAATGAACACACTTTTGCCCGTTTGTGAGCATTTTGATCCATTAAGCGCTACTTCATCTTTGCTTGCTGCCATTGGAATTGATTATTAAAACAAATTTGGTTTGATTTCGTATTTCAATATCCAAACAACATCTTCAATCAAATTATATAAAAATATCAATTTCTCTTCACTACTTAAAAAAACCGTTTGTAGCAACGGAACAATTTTTTTAGGGGCGGCTGGTGATGGAGCCGCCCCTACAGTGGGCGTGCACGGGACCCACGAGACCAGCCGCCCCTACAAATGGCACAGTAGGGACAGCTGGTGATACGAGCCGTCCTTACAAATGGGTCAATTTGTAGGGGCGGCTCACTCACCAGCCGTCCCCGGTGTTGCGATTTGTAGGGGCGGCTCAATCATCAGCTGCCCCTACAAATGCCCCATGTATAAAAACCTACAACTCATTCTTCCTCCTCGGGTCACTCACTCCAACTCGTGAAAAAAAGGTAGGGAGGCCTTGGGCACCTCCCAAAAATTGTTTTACTAGGGGGAAGATTTTGGTCTCAAATCCTTTGGTAGAGAGGTCGTAGAAGGTAAGAAAATGATATTCCATACTTTCTTTCGAAGTTTTAATGGTTGGTTAGTGAGTAATTAGAGTTTTATTTTTCTCTTTCTTCTACGGTGCTTGAGCTACTTATGAAGCAAATTAGACCCAAAATTTGAATGTATCAGGATAAATTCGGTAGGAGAACAAGATCATACCCTTATTTGGTCCATGTTTCTTGATTTTAGTGAACAATTAGTTAGTTTTATGGATGTTTCATGTGTATGTAGATCTAGATCTAGGATTTGGTTTTTTTATTAATTTTGTTTTTGTAAATCTATGTTCGATGAAATTGGACTAGGGTTTACATGAAAAATATTGGGTAAAATATAATTATTGCTAATTGTTTTCTTTGAAATTATTTATTGTAATCAACAAATATGTATTTTAATTATTTATGGCTAAATAGGCCATTAATTATTTTTCCTCTACCATGGTGTGTTCGTATGCTTCATGTAATTATATTTGATTTATATTCATATATATCTGAAGTATATACAATTATTCTCAAGTAATTATTAATTTGAGTCATTTTTATATATATCTGAATAAGTAGTCCTTTAATGTTTGTTTTGTTGTTGTTGTAAAAGATGGAGTACAGGAACTCTTGGATATATGGTTCGTTAAGGTTCAAGACAGAGTCCCGTGAAGAGGTGGATAAATTTATTGAAGCCGCAGAGAAGCATGCAACGACGTTTACAGAGAATAAGGATATAATTATTTATCCCTGTAAAGATTGCAAGAACCGTATGACATGGACAGATATGACTATCATCATATCACATTTGATTATGTGAGGATTTGTTGAGAACTACATAGTGTGGATTTATCATAGTGAAACGGTTATTGTTAATGACGAGGATGAGGAGGAATACGATGATGAAACCCTAGAATCCCTATGCCAATATTCAGCAGAGCTTGATGCATGAATGGATCCCGAGTTTGGCAACAAACAAGGTGGTGATGCTAGTGGTTGGGATGATAACGACGAAGGTGGTGTCAATAATAATGGCGGAGCACGTGTCGGGAATGAAGATAATTTAGAGGACATGATTTGAGCCCTTGGACCAGATATTTTATTAAAGAGCCCAAAAGGTCTAGAAAATTTTAAAAGGGTGAAAAAAGCATCGAAGGAGGCTGTGTATGGTGTTGAAAAGGATTGTCCGACACACTGGACATTGCTAAGTTTTGTGCTTGAGCTACTCATCCTGAAGACTAAGTACGGCTGGTTAGACTATAATTTAAATGATCTATTGCGTCTCCTGTCATGGGTGCTGCCACAACCAAACTCAGTTCCCGCCAACACATACCAAGCAAAGAAGGTCATCAGTCCATTGACAATGGGGGTTGAAAAATTCATGCATGCCCCAACCACCGTATCCTTTTTCGTGGCGAAACGTTCAAGTCACTAGATAAATGTCCCTAGTGTGGGGCCAGCCGGTACAAGAACAATGACCTTTACGGTGGGGACGAAGCCTCCACGGGGAAAAAGAGAAATAAGAAGGGTACGAAAAAGGTGGTACAAGAATCTCAGCCCCTAGAGGACACTCCATTAGGCAACGATGCAAAGCAAAGAAAAATTCCTGCCTTGATAATGTGGTACCTGCCAGTGACCGACCGCTTGAGATGTATATTCCTAAACCCTAAAGAAGCCACACTCATGACATGGTGGGATGATGTGCGCAAGGTGAATGATGATAAGATTACACACCCGGCTGATTGTAGTCAGTGGCAAAGGATCGATGAGAAGCACAAAGAATTCAACGATGACCCAAGAAATGTACAGTTTGGCTTGAGCACCGATGGAATGAATCCCTTCAATGAGAGGATGAGCGACCACAGCACTTGGACAGTGATCTTAACCATGTACAACATCTCAACATGTTTGTGTTAGAAGAGAAAGTACCTTCTCCTCACTATTCTTATTTCTGGCCCTAAACAACCAGGCATTGATATAGACGTGTTCCGCGAGCCTTTGATGCAAGAAATGGAGAAGCTATGGAGGCATAGGGAGCCGATGTACGATGCGTTCTGAAAGGACGACTTCATATGTAGAGCAATACTATTTGTTACTACCAATAATTACCCCGTGCTGTTTGCTTTGTCTGGACAGATCAAAGGGAAGACGAGATGTTTAATTTGCTTGGATGGTACTACATGGGTGTTCTTGGATGCATCCAAGAAGATAGTTTACCTAAGGAACTGGCGCTTCTTAAAGACAAGTTACAAGTACCGCAGTAAATTGTTCTTTAGATTTTATGACAACATCCCAGAGATTGAACCCCCTTCGAAGGGACATCATAACGGAGAACACGTGTACAGAATGGTGAAAACATACGCGTCGTCTATGAAAAGAAGAATCCAGATGGGACGAATAGAGATAGAAGCACACCTCCTATCGAAAGCATACCTTTCAAAAAACAATCAATCTTCTTTCAGTATCTGCCTTATTGGCTAGACTTGGAGGTCCCCCATGCCATTGATGCTATGCACGTGTAGAAAAATGTCTTTGAGAGTCTCATTGTTACCTTGATGGACACAGGTAAGTCAAAGGATGGTCTAAAATTACGAAAAGACATGGTGCAGCTAAACGTGATGCCACAGCTTCACCCGGTACCTGAGGCTAATGGAAAATACACTCTACTCGTGGCGTGCTTCAACCTAATACCAGAAGAGAAGAGAGCTATATGCACTATCCTAAAGGGGGTCAAAGTTCCGACTGGGTTTTCAGTGAATGTGAAGAAGCTAGTATCGATGAAGGACTTGTGAATAACACATTGCAAGGCTCACGATTGTCATGTGATACTGACAGTGTTTCTACCTATTGCAATTATGGCTATAAAGCCAGATTTCTTGAAAATAGCCATCACCCGCATGTGCTACTTCTTTTCGAAGATCTCACAGAAGACGATTGACAAGAAAGAGCTGAGTGACCTACATGAATTTGTGATGGAGACACAAAACCAACTACAAATGTGTTTACCTCCTGCTTTTTTGATATAATGCCACATCTCATGATTCACATGGTTCATCAGATACAGGCACTAGGCCCTTGCTCCTTGCATAAAATGTGGTCCTACGAGCGGTTCATATCGGTTTTAATCTGATACGTGCATAATCGAGCATACCCAGAGGGCTCCATGATAGAGGGTTACAGTACTAAAGAAGTCATCGATTGCTGTCAAGAGTACCTAAAAGTATAGAAATGGATTGGTAAACCCAATTCTTGTCACAAGGGTAGGCTGGCTAGGAAGGGCACCAGTGGTAGAAAAGTGTTCATCGGCCATGATTACAAAAAAGTGAGTCGGGCGCATTATAGTGTCTTGTAGAGTACACAACTGATGCAACCGTACATTGATGAACACTTGGCTAACATTATGACGGAGAGAAATGGTCGTTCAGATAATTGGGTCATGAAACAGCACAAGCAACGACTAACTATATGATTGAAGGACCAAAACATACCGCCTGAAGAAACCATAGACTCTATTACCATTAGTAGGTTGGCGGAGGGGCCATCGAGACAAGTGATACCTTGAAAAGCTTATGACATGAATGGATACATGTACTATACCCACGCAAAGGATAATAAATATGTGAACCAAAATAGCGGCGTTTGAATAGAAGCTCTCGATGGAGTGGGACGAAAGATCCAATACTTTGGTATCATTGAAGAGATATGGGAACTTGACTATGAAAGGGATATAGCGATAGCCCTGTTTTAATGCCGCTGGATCAAACAACACCAACTGAACGAGATCATATTGAGAGTCCTAGACCTTAAGAATCTAGGCTACCAAGATGACCCTTGGGTGCTTGCTTCATGTGTCGCATAAGTTTTCTATATGCCTGACCCACAAAGTAACCTGCCCTCGAAGAAGAAGACAAAGCATGTGTTTGCCACCGGGAAACATGACATTATCAGAGTTGATGCATGGACGATGTTGAAGCTTACAATAACTACGATGAGATGCCGCTATTCATAGACTTTCCTAAGAAGATCAGTGTTGTGGAAAAGAACCTGCTAAAAGACATATTGCCATAGGAACGA